GGGGGAGTTGGGGGCGATCAGCCCAGCTGGGAGGTAGTTGGGGGTGAGCAGAGCAGGCCAGCAGAGGGGGGCAGTTGTGGGCGAGCAGGCCAGCAGGCAGAGTGGTTAGGGGCGATCAGGCAGGCCGGCAGGTGAGCGATTAGGAGCCAGCGGTCCCAGGTTGCCAGTGGGATGTCCAAGGGGTCCCAGAATGGAGAGGGTGCAGGCCAGGCTGAGGGACAGCCCCCCGTGCATGAATTTCACGCACCAGGCTACTAGTCACACTATAATGGACTCTGTTAGGCAACATGTAGACATAACTACATAAGCATTTCCTGGGTCCTCAAACCGAGAACCCAAAGCCATGACAAGGGTCCACCAACAAGCATATCAACTCATCTCACATTATTACTAAAATAAACCTGTTTTTGGAACCACTGTGATTCTTGAGCAAACACAAAAACATCTCTATTCCACAATAAGCATGGAAAAATACTCTACACAACCCAGAATTATATATGCTATACAAAGATTCAAAATTCTATGAAACAATTACTTTTTATTTGTTGTTTCACAGTGTTTCAGAATTATATATTAACCCAGAGGATTTCATTCATTTTGAGCATCTAAATAGAATTTAGGTTTGTAGGAATCATGAAAATAGTAAGTACCATAATGGAGGAAATTTTTATCACTGTGGATAGCAAACAATTATTTACTACATCCAACAGCATCTTTTGGAATATCATTCATTAAATGGCCTAAAAAAAAAAGTAAGAACTATATTTGAACAGTATAGGACAAGCCTAAATATTTTTTAAAATTTTTGAAAGACAATTATTTTCCTTAAGAGACAAGTTGGCCTACACTAAAGGCAAGGTCATCTGAAGCTCCTAGAGGAATTTCAAAACCTTTCAAGTCTAAGAACAAAAAACAATAAAAACCATAAACCATTCCTTTTGTCTGCAACAGCTCTTCCATTCTAGATTAATATCTTAACAGAACAAAATCTGAAGCAAAGAAAACAAACAAACCATCTTTGACCTCTGAAAAAATGTACTATAAGATTATCAAATGACAATTAATTCTCAATACATCCCAGATAAAAATTCAGGTCTTCTTCCCATTCAAGTACAAAAACTTATACTTAAAGTGCCAAATTTAAATTTTTAATATCAATAAGTATTTATAAAACAACTTTAATCCAACTTTAATTTATAATAACCTAGTTAATATTTCAGTGAAGATGGTGGGGCAAGGCCCACTTCTACTCCAAGCAAGCAAGAGTCTGAAGTTTACTCCTTTATGTTTTATAACAATAAGGACTGGGAAACTTGACAAGTGGCCCAAAGACCATTAATCCTACTTTAATAAAATTGAAAAGTTATTACATCTAATGCTTGGCATACATTCTATTCATATACAACACTGAATTAGTTGTGAACATTTTTTAAAAAATTACTAACCCCTGGCTGGTTTGGCTCAGTGGATAGAGCGTCGGCCTGTAGACTAAAGGGTCCCGGGCTCAATTCTGATCAAGGGCACATGCCCGGGTTGCAGGCTCGATTCCCCAGTAAGGGGTGTGCAGAAGGCAGCCAATCAATGATTCTCTCTCATCATTGATGTTTCTAACTCTCTCCCTCTCCCTTCCTCTCTGAAATCAATAAAAATATATTCTTTAAAAAAAGAATTACTGACTAGGCCTATGTTCTTGTTTACTTTAAGATCTTTAAATAACATTTGTTAAAGAAACAAAAATTTATCTTGAGTAGTTAACCAAAGTAGCCCTGAAAAAAAACAAACAAAAAAAAACTAGGTTTTAAGTCCCAGCTTTTTTTTCAGCATATGAAGCTGGAACACATAAAGGTCCTTTCCAGCTCTAAAATAATACTCTAGATGGACAAAACTAATGAAAACAGTCCAAATGCTTTTACAGATTTTAGATCTCTCTTGAATTTCTATCATGTAAAAAAGAAAAGTCATTCTAGAAATTCCTGATAAAAATTGAAATACACCAGAATAGGAATCAAAATCAGTTCTCTCCTCCCTTTATGAACTAGGATTTACGCACAACTATTGGAGACACAACAGATGTACAAAGTAAGCGTGGGTCCAGTATTTGTATTTTACTCCAGAGGGAGGGGTGGTCCAGTGGCAAGCTATGGAAAGAGGATGCCTACTCAGATTTCCAGGTGCATCTCTTAGAAATATGTTATTTCACTTACTTTATTACTCATATTTCCCATACTTAAACATCTCTTCACTTGAAATGGTTCCTATGATCAATGACATATCGTGGTTTAATTGTTGCCCTCCCACCCCCCGCCACTTAGGAGTATGTGACATAATCATAGATTTGATGAAATATGTTATTTCCCTGCATCGCTTCTCTTGAAAATGCTTCCAATTCAGTCCATATCTAATTGTTAGCCCAGTTACACACACACACACACACACACACACACACACGCACGCACGCACACCTGATTGTTATAAAACATAAAGGAGCTTGAAATTAAAAAAGTTAATCAACAATTCACCTGATACTCTTTAAAATTCAAGTTGGAAAAAAAAATAGCATCTAGGAAGAAAGTGTATATTCTATATTCCTGAGACAGATAAAGTAGTTTGGAAACTGAATCTTGAACTTTCTTCTGTTACTTAATTTTGTAAAAATGCTCTTCTCAAATCACCACATACCAGTACTTTGCAAAATGAGGTTTGGGTCCTTCTAGTAACACCGTCATTTCCTCTACCAGGACAAAGCTGAATCTTGCCAATGAGTTGTAAGGCTCAAAATACAAGGGAAGAAAAATGCTCTGTTAACTAGTGTACAGGAAAGAGCTGTAGCCGAGGTTTCATTCTAAGGTCAGAAACTAAGGGTTTGAGTGTCTTCATTCACCTATTTCATCCTGAGAAAGAGCTCTAGCGAGTCTGAGCATCAGTTTCCTCAGTCTGAAAAGAGTATGTATCAGGTGCTGTACAACCTGACTCATCTGTTCAATCAACACTACCTGAATGCTTAACCAGATATGTGCAAACATTCACGGAGAGGACCCACTAGTCACGCAGTGGTTCTCAACCTTCTGGCCCTTTAAATACAGTCCCTCATGTTGTGACCCAACCATAAAACTATTTTCGTTGCTACTTCATAACTGTAATGTTGCTACTGTTATGAATCGTAAATATCTGATATGCAGGATGGTCTTAGGCGACCCCTGTGAAAGGGTCGTTCGACGGCCAAAGGGGTCGCGACCCACAGGTTGAGAACCGATGCCAGTGTGACATTCAGGCATCACCTGGGTCAGAGAACACAGCCTGAGAAAGACAGTACCACCTGACACCGCGCCCCCCGCCCCGCCCCCGTTCGCACCTGACCTTTAAAACTCCACACACCTGCCTGAGATGAAATGGAGTGAGTTCTCCAAGCCAGGCCCCCAACAGCGGGCAGGGGAGGGGGCACATCTGCTCAGGGAAATCGCAGTTCCACACCACGCCGGTTCCCGCGGATGTACCTGACTCCGGGGGGGGGGGGGGGGTCGGCGAGGGTTCCAGGCCAACTTACACGGTGACCCCGAAATGAAAGCCAAGGCGCTCGATTCGGGAGCGAGGCGCGTGAAGGTAGAGAAAAGTGAGCCGGGGGTGGCGAGCAGCGCCGCC